CTCATTCAGGTATTTTACATTAAATTAATATACAGAATAGTCACTCTATGAAATACTTGAGGATTGAAGTCAGTGAAGTTTCTTAGGTGGTGAATACCTGTTTTTATCATTCAAACTCTGCACCACTAAAGGTAAAGACATAAAGAGGGCAAAATCCACCTAACAGAAAACCCCAAGCCAAAACCCAATCCCAAAAAGTTTTTGCCCCTTTCCTCCATCAGAGTAACACTTTCAATGACCAAACCTCCCCAGAGAAAGTCCCCAGCTCATTGTGATGTGTCAGCCAGGACTCCTGTGGGACAGAGGCACTGCCAGATGTGCTGGAACGTTGCACAGGAGCACTTTTATCTGCAGCCCTGACATCCTCTCCTTCCCACCAGCTCAGGGAGCTGATGAAGAGAGGGCATCAGTCACCTCAGGTGTGCAAACAGAGCACATGAGATGATTTTAAATAACCATCCAGAACTTCCATGACCAAGCAGAAAAGCTGTGTTGTCTGTTTGGTGCCTGCAACCCTTTTCTAGCTCCGAGAGCGATGCAAGGTGCCTGGGATGTCACTTTTGTTTTAATGTCAGTAAGTTTGATTAAAGAAGCACCAGGTTGGCATGTTTCAAAATCTAAGCGTGCTGTGGGGCAGCGTTTTCGGCTCCCACTTCCAGTAAGGACTTGACTGAGAGTCAGAAGAACCTCTTGAGAAGAACATCTTTGACTCATTTGATAGAACAAGGGAAGCCATCACTTGCTGATTTTCAGATTGCTGCCCGATGAGAGCTGACAGTGGACGTGACACAGCCACTGAGAGGCTTTGCTGCCTGTCTGTCTGACAAAAGGAGCTGCCACGGTGGCTGTCAGGTTTGTTTTGTAGTGCTGTAATTACAGAGACTGAGATCCTGGGGAATTATAGGGAGAAGGAGATGCATTTCATGCTGGGAGCTAAACTTGGAATAATTCTGCACTTATGAAAGGTGGGAGCAGTTGAAGGTGTAGTAGAGATCTGAACCACTACTGCAGGGGGGTTTAGGGAAAGACAAAGCCCTCAAAATGACCATTTAATTAAAAAGCACTGATTTCTCCTCTTCCCATGCATCACCTGTGATGTGTTTTCCAAGTATCACTGCGGTTTCTCTCCTGGTGTCCTGTCTCTGGCTTTCAGCCCTTGTGATTTCATTCCTCCACCAGCTTGAATTGCAGCTGGACAGTTCATGATGGGTTTTTTGCTAATGCCACACTCATTCCACCTTCAAACATTAGTAAACTTTGTCCTGGGATGCCAGAGCCAAGTGGAGCAGGGTTCCAGGTCTGCACAGGATGGAAGCATGGCCAGCTGGGCACTTTTCCTCCTGGAGATGTCCTAACACAGCTGACTTTTGTTTATCCCTGCTTCACCCAAAGCTCTGCCACCTTTTATATTAACAGAAAGCGCTATGCTTGATTCAAAATCTCATGCTAATTTTGATAAATTCAATTTGTTTTGTTTATCTTAAGAAATGGTACTGTACAGCAGCAGCAGCATTTGAGGGCAAAAGTAGGAAGTGGAAAGAAATTCTTTAGAAAGTAAAAAGAAATTCAGTGGTGATCCAGCAAACATATTACTGGAATTTGTTGTAAATTGAAAAGCAGAGCAAAACTGACCAAACTATGGTTTTAATTTTGGCTTTGTTCAGTGTCATGCCAAATACCAATACTCACTAAAATTCAACAAAATCATAAAAGCTTTATGGTGATCATTCTCAATATTTATATAAATATGTGTTGATGAACGACATATTTTTCAGCTGTACCCTCATGAATTTGTGCATCAGGATAAGAATCTCTCCCTCCAACCTTTGCAAATCCCATCTTAGGTACCTTTTTGTGAGCAGAATAGTTTGGTTTAAAAGGGACTTTTAAGACCATCCAGTCCCAGCCTCCTTCCATGGGCAGGGACACCTTCTTTGTCCACTGGCTGAAAAGGTGTAAATCAAACGAAGGAAATCATGGAAAATCTTAACTATCCGACTGCAAGGGTGCACATACTGAGTAGTGGAAAATCCTGCAAGTGGAAAAGCTCTTTTTAGGGGTTGGAATAATTGTACGTTGCTCGAAACACGCCTGGAACAGTTGAAACTCTTATTAAAGAGTGTTGCCAGATTTTATCGCTGCAGTCATGCATATAGATCAGTGATCCCTGAGCAGCACTGCCAAATGTGTGAATGAGGTGCACTTGCTAAAAATAACCCTACTGACTGCTGCTCCTAATTGCCACGGAATCCTGGGGAAATTGTACCATTTCAGCAGCACAAAATTGACTTAAAATCTATAGCTGCAGCATTACGGGTGGGTTTTTAAGAGAGGATGAAGTATTAGTTAGACCTTGGTCATCAGCATTTAGGAAATAAAGCCAACAATCACCACCAGGTTGAACTCGGAGCCATCGTAGCTCTGTTCTTGTCTCACTTGTAAGAAGTGGTGGTGGGTTCTGGTTCTGTGGAAACACCTGGTAGGGCTGAAGCTCTGGGCTGGGAGAGGCTGGATCTGCTCTGCCTCACCTTGTAAACCACTTCAGCAGCCCCACCTACCAAGGGAAGTACCTGTGAATTTGTTTTGAAAGTAAATAAAAAGTTCTCAGGATGTTTGGGCAGCAGCTGAGCATCCCAGCACTGAATGACAAAAATGATCCTTTTGTTTCCCTCCCCTTTTAGGCATTTCTTGTAATACTTTATCAAGTTTCCCCCCATGCCCTTCTACCCCAAAGAGAATCTATTTTCCTTTTTGTAGGAAATGGGTTTGCTGATGAAGAGCCTGCCATTGCCACCTCTGGGACTCTTCCAGATTTTTGGATATTGGATAAATGGGAACTCATCTATTTTGTTATAATTCCATCTTCACTTTGGGAAGGTGAAACCTTTCCCTCATCAAAACCAGTCTTAAAAAATCCATAAGATTCTTTTCTTTCTAGTAAATTCTTCGATTATCCATTTCTTTATGGTGATTCGTATTTTTAGGCAGCTGCAGCAAATGACTGATTTGCAGGCACATGGAATTTCTGCTCCAGCAAGGTTTTAAACTATTTAGGGAAATGAATGAAGCACAAAGGTTTTTATTTAACTATAAATTTTGTATGACTTTAATTTTTTTCATGAGTGACTGGCTTTCTTACATCAAACTCCTTCACAGGGAATTTTACAGCAATATGCAGTACCTTTGACAGCTATAATTGTCTAAAACTCCGGGAAAGCCAGATGAAAGAATAAATACATAAATATTGATCTGGCTGAGGTTTAAGTAATCCCTGATTAAAGTAAAAATGCATTTTAAAAATAGCATTGATTACTCCTGGACTCTGGTTTTGTTATCCTCCCCAGGCTGAAAATGTTGAGTCTTTATAGAGTCAGAGAAATATATTGAGAATACTGATGAGACATTTATTTTAATTTATCACCCCAGTGTTTGAGCACTTTTATATTATCCCCTGAATTTATACTCAAAATCAATCTCACAGAATTGAGACTGCTGAGGCACAGGGAGGCAGGAGGTTGCAGGACACTGCTGGGCACAAACAGTTTTTACAACTCAGGCCTCCAAGAGTAGGTGCTGGAACTGGGATTTAGTCAGGACAGAGCCAAGTGTTCCCATCCCTGACTGCATTGGGTCCTGCTGGGAGTCCCCTTCTCACTCATTTCATGGACTTTGTGCCATTTCCATCCCCTCTGGTAGAGATCTTCTGCCTTGCTGCACTCCAAAGCCCTGGGATTTGGGTATTTGCCCCTGCTGTGTCTCCTTGGTTGATGTTTGATTCCTGGAGTTACCTGCTGATTTTTGGGACTGCTGTCCAGTACAGGGATTGCACTGCCAGCTCCTGGAGAAGATGGACTTGCTTTTTGCTCAACTCTAGCATTGTGTGTGCAATTCAGAGTGACAGAGCTCTGGTTTTTAGCTGTTTTCATGTATTCCCACAATGGGGAATCTCTGGAAGAAATGTTAGAGATGATGTTGGTAGCCCAGGTGGTGGAACAAGATGTTTGGCTTGGAGCTCCTGCAAGCACTTCTGTCAGCTCAGGATGGGAGAGAGGTATTTTTATCACTTGTAGTGCTTACATGGCACTTCAATCAAGTGGGTTAGGCTTTTTTTTTTTTTTTTCTTTGGCCAGATTTCAATTTAATTCATGATGTGTCACCTCCCTAACTCAGCTTTGGCTCTCAAAGAAGTCGTGCTGTCCTTTTAATTTCTGGCCGAAGTGCTTTGAGGAGTTAGGAGAGAAATTGCTGTTGAATCTCTGTGTCCTGAAGCTCTTGGAGGGCTGGCACTGCTGTGCTCCTGCATAAATCTGCTGCTCCAGGAGACATTCGTGAGGTTTCACTGATGGCTTGGCAAGTTGTGGCTTGATGAATGTGCTGCACACAGGATTCTGCCTCTGCTGACTTCAAGTCACCCCCAGAAGGGATTGAAATAGATTCTCTGCTGAAAATTTCGTCCTGGCATTAGATTTGTGGCACCTGTGTGTTTGTCCCAATGTAATTCTCTGAAGAGATGTTTGTTTTCATCTCCAGGAGGAAGGGAGGAAAGCTTTCATGCACCCCAATTCATGCATGTATTGATTTAGTAAACATTTTCCCTTCAAGATATTTGATTCTGAGGAAAATTGAGGTTATCATTCTGCCGAATACTTGTAGACATGAATGCTACTGCAAGATAATTATAAATGGCAACCAGTATGATAGCTTTTGTGTGCATTGTTAGTTTGATTTTTTTGGAATTAGGCAATATTTAATGCTTCAGTTCTATTGGAAGGTGTGTATTATTTTATTTTTTGAAGGTGCATTAGACTTTTTTTAAAGACTCACGTTTAAATTTTCTGTTACGGAGTAACACAGAAGAGATGAGCTTAATTTTATTAATTGTGCAATAAACCCATTTGGATCTAAAGGAAACCAGCTGCTTTATAATAATTGCCTTTTTCTTTGATTTTATGTTCATGATTTAAATTTCTAAAATACCAACTGGTTTTTCTTTGTTTTTATCAGGTCTTGCATGCTGTGACACAAAGATCTCATCGCCCGGTGCGCTATGTTCATGGTGAGCCTGATTTCCTCCTTTTGTCCACCTTGTCATTCCAGGGATTATTATATCAAGGGGGGATCTGTTATTGTAGCAATCAATCATTTGAAATCATCACAACCACACAGGCATAAGTTTAAACATTGTTTTTTCTTAATTAGTGACAAATCCCCAGTTTCCTACAACATCTGGTGCAAAATGAGTTTGAAGAACCCGTGAAGGATGTGATAATGATCTCAAAGTTTCAGTGGTCATGGTCAAAATTGCAGATGAGGCAGGATGGGGTCAGTTTTGTAGTTTGGAGTAATCAGTGGCATCAGAATTCCTGACAGGTGGAATCTCCCACATGAGGAGATCTACAAACACAAAATGCCCAGCCTGGGCCCAGTGAATCCCATTTTGTCCTGGCTCCAAATCCTCAGGCTCTTTAGCTATGCTAAGGAATTCTCAGTGGCTGCCAACTTTTTGGCACTTCTTAAAATAACTCGGTTAAATATATTTCATAAACCCATTTTGTATAGGCAAAAGAAGCCCCTCTGCTGCTCCTCAGCAGAACATGTTCCTTCTCTTTCCCTTCTCCTCTAAATATTAGTAAATTACCCCTTTTATTATGATGTGAAAATAAACCGGCTTTTGGAATTAGGCCTCACATTTATCAATGGTTTCCTACTGTGTTCTGGATTTTTGGGGTTTTTTTTTGAGGGGTTAAGTAGCAAACACCTTCTGTATTTCTGGGTTTACTGATACGTATTTTTAAACTGATTATTTTTTCTCATGCTTTTAAATGGAAGTAGGTAATCCTCATGTGGTTCCAGTGTTCTTTTTTTTTTCTTTTTTTCCCATTTTAATATTTTTTTTTTCTCCTAAATTCTCCCTTACCTGCCTCAGGATGATTGAGCTGCTTGATGATGCACCTCTGAGAGCAGAAGTTAATAAACAGCCTTCCCTCGCTGATGGGATTAGGGATGTCAGAGGAGTGGCCAAGGCTTTGAGGGACACAGATTTTTAATCCTTCCCTAGTTCAGCTCAGCCATTGGAAATGTGCCTTCTGAAGCTGTCAGGGTAATCCACAGACACGTTCAGCTGAGCTTCCTGGCACTTCTGACAGTCATGAACATGCTGCAGATTCCTGGAGGAAAGTGTTCAATCCTGGGATATCCATTGGGGTTTCAATATCATCCCCACTTCCCAGGGGAAGCCTCTGCCTTGCAGGGTCTCCAGCAGCCCCTGCTGAAGGGTTCTGGGCAGCTTTCAGATCATGAAAAGGACAAGCCCTTGCTCAGTTGCACATCACATTTAATTACTTAGTGCTCTGCAATGGAAGATGGTGCAAGAACAAAAGCTTAACATCTGTCAGTTCTTTTACTGCCAACATTTCTTGATTTAATTGTTTTTCAAATCTTTTTTTTTTTTGGTGTTGCTTTCTATACTTTTCTGACATTTTTGCAGCTTTTCCATGTAATGCATAACTTTTTTTCCACAGTGTGCTGTACAACATGGTGATATTTGGAGCAGGTCTGCAGGTGTTTGCTGGAGGTTTGGAAAGGCTGTGAGGATCTTAGCACTGACTCTGAATTTAATTAATCTGGGAGCCCCAGAGAGACAGTTAATGGCTCCATTAATAACTTCACTTCCTCATATTCTCAGGTTTAAAATATTAGAGCAGTATTTTGAGGTAGGATAGGAGTGCCCTTCGTTTTGGGATCCATCTAGCAGGGAACTCCTGCAAGCTCTGCAGATGTTCTCTGAAGAACAGCTTCCTGATTTTTCTTGTCACTGTTACTGCAGAAGGCCCCAAGCTTGGCATTGCTCAGCTAAAATATTTTTTACAACAAATGCAATAAACCATTGCCATCTCAAGGGCTTACAGTTAAATTTTACTAATGCAAATTGCTCTTGAGTCAGGCGAGTCTGACAGTGTTATTGTTTGTCTTTTAAAAATACATTTTATCAAGGCTAGCACGAACCCCCAGATAAATTGAACTTTTGAATATAACTTTTCCTGATTTTGATGGAAAGAAAACACTTTATGATATTCAATCTCTCTATGATGTTGAGAAGGAGAAAATTAGGATTAAAACAAAGTATTAAAAATTCTGCCCACAAAATAATTTGTGAAAAGGAACTGCAAATCCAGTGGCAAGAAAACTTCATAGTCAGATAAAACTGCTTGGGATTTCCTTTTGTTTCTAATTGATATTCAAAATAATTAATGAGGATGAAGTAGCAATAAGAGAGATCAATTAAAACTATTAGTATAATTGGTTTTAAATCAGTTACCAGCCCATACTTTTAAAATTACTGTAGCACAGGGGTTTTGTGATTGGGTTCTGTTGGCAGAGTTCTGTCCTGTGTGAAGAACTGGTGCAAGTAGAAATGGGAATCAAGGGAAAGCCACACATCTACATCATAAACACACAGTTAATCTTTTATTATCTAACACATATTCACTCTAGGCGATGCTGAACTTTTCAAAACAGTTTTGTCAGCCTGCAGTGTGGTTTAAACCCATGGCACTTTCTTTGTGCAGCCCCTGGTTTCTTTGGAGATCCCATGGCACCCTGAATTGGAGCTGGCATTATCATTCCCCTCCTGCTGTGTGGCTGATCTGATAAATGTGGTGTGGGGACTGTGATGACTTTGACTCGTTTGTCATCTTTTGTCTGCTGTAAATTTTTATTAGATTTCTTCTCGTAGAATGCAGTTTATGTTGCTGAATACAGAGAGAATGAAGCATTGCTGAGACAGGGAGTGGCTCCTCTGCTGCATATTCCCCTTGCTGTCTCCCTTCCTTGGGCCCCAGAAAGGCTTCTTGGGGCAGGATGGGGCTCAGAACCGACCTTTAAGCCTATAAATAAGAGCTGTCAAACTTGTGCAGAGATGGGACTTTGGACTACAGGTGTTCATAATTAGATTAATTTACAAAGTAGATCAAGCCAATGAAAGAGGCACAGAAAACTGATGGAGGGCTTATCAAATTAGCTAAGTAGAGCAATTAATCAGACAGGCCTTAACTGTTTGGTTTCTATTTTTTAATTATCAGCTGGAGGAGTTTTCTTTCAGCTTGCATTAAAGAAGGCAGTGAGTGCAAGGCTGTGCTTGGGGAAACCCTTCCCTCGTTGTCTCCTTGTCACCTCCATGTCTTGGGGCGGGCCAGGAACGTGGCACCACTCAGGGATCCATTGGCATTCCCAAGGCACAGAGCAGCCTTCTGTAAACAAAATAATTTTTTGAAAAATTGTTCGTCATTCTCTGTGAAAATACCAACAAAAAAGTATTTTTTGTAACAAAAAAAGTATTTTTTTTTGTACCCACAGTGGGCGTGAGATTTTATTGAAAGAGTAACTTGTCAGTGAAAGGGATCAACAGACAGCTCCTCAGGAACTTCTGGTTGCAGAGTGGTAACAATTATTTTAGAGGTATTTAAAAGCACCTTAAGAATGATGATTTTAACAAGTTGTTTTTTATTTCTAATGGAGTTCATGAAGTTTGGGAGTGTTGCACATATTGACACAAATTTTTTCTGTTTTTCTGACTCCATTTGTAAATGATCTGGTATCTTTAGATGGACTTTTCCTGCCTTTCACTGCAGGAATAAAAAGAGGTTCCATAAGAGTATCCCAAGAATACTTTTCCTTGTTTCATTTCACGATAAACCCCTCTGGCAGCTGCCAGGTTTGGCCCTGAGAAATTGGCCTGAGGCCACATAACATGGACATGGAATAGGGGGCTGAGATCTCTCTCCAGACATGACCCTCCCACTTCCCTTTTCCTTCTATTCAAGAGGCCAAATAATTCCTTTTCCCACATCCACAATGAATCCTAAAGCATGTCAGAAAATGGGGAAGAATGGAAATTAGCACTTCTTCCTCCAAAGCCAAAGAAAGAAGATCTGATGAGAACAAGACCTTCCTTCAGATCTCCCTAAATACTGAACTGCCTCTTATGTAGAGGTTAAATATAGGTTTAAGATCATTCATTGTGCCTTCCTTTAAAAAATACCCAGTGAACATTCTGGCACATTAACTTTGGGCATTTATATTTAGGAATCTTATCACAACTTAAAATGTTGCTGTAAAACTAGTTTCTCCTCTCTGTAAGTCCTCAGCCATTTTATCATCAATATCCAGAAATGAAAATCTTAACCAGGGTTATCAACTTAGGTCAAGCTTTGAAATCCCTTTTAAACATTTTCAGTGATGTTTTTCATGCCCTTAACACTGGATACTTCAAACCCCAAAATGTCCTGTGCTTAAGAGTTCTTTTGAAAACTGCAGAATCCTTGAACAGCTGAAGATTAAGAGGAGGTTTTTGGGTGACTATTTCAGGATTTTTTTGTAGATTGATCATCATGTTTGCCTTAGGAAGATAAAGGATAGATCTAAAAGCTGTTGCCTGAGATTTGTAAGCAGCATTTTCCTTTATATCTCTGGAAAAGTAGTCTCTGATTTTTCTGATGAATTTCTGTGTCTTGCCTTGATTTTTGAATCACTGAAAATAAGATACAGCTTCTGTTTTAACCAATATGGGAAACTGCTAAAAAGCCTGTAAATAGGAGTAATTAACACCCACCTCCAATGTTTCCTTTTTCTGCTTGTTTAAATACAGGATTTCTAGGTCTATAAAAGCCTGTGAAAATAATTCAGACAACATATATGTGCTTTCAAAGTGCCTGAATCCAATCAGTTATTCCTTGGGAATAACTTCCTTGGCTGCAGGGCTGTGCTGAACAGGATCTAAACTACTCTGGAATTAATATAAGCCCAGAAAGAATTTGATGTGTTTATTTGGAGCCTCTGAACCAGCCCAAGATACCTGGATGTGACTGATAAAGGGATCAATATAGAGGAGGGAATGATGGATGGGTTGTAAAGCTAAACATTGCTCCTGAAGAGCTTGTGCTTGTACAAAACCCTGAAGTGCAAACTCGAGGAGGGTATTTGGCTTTGTGGAGGCTTGAATTAGTTGGTTCTTTTATCACTTTGTCAAACATTATCTGACTGTTTCTCTCCTAAGAT